TGCTGGTGGTGCTGCTGGTGGTGCTTGTGGTCCAGGACCAGCACTAGTCGCTGAAAACTTCGCAGCTACTCAGAAGCTGTCCTGTTGCTCAACCCTTCGCACCCGTTCATAAAGTCGCGGACTTACATATTGCATGTAGGGAAGTTGGATTGCTCTCCTGTACCAGAATGAAAGAATATGGCTTCTAGGGATGTCATGCAGGACTGCACTCTTGCTTGCTACCGAGAGCCGCGGAGTCTGGCGACTGGGGGTTTCGGACACAACTCTTGGAGTGCATGCCGCCGTTGATCGGGCTTGAGGGAGAAAAGTACAGGCCATGAGGGCCTGCATGCTCACGCATGAACCACGAACAGCCAGCACGAAGCCATCAAAAGCAGGGCATTACTTGTGAACAACTTTGAAAAAGCTAACATAGAGAAATGCAAATATGTACGTAGTTGAGGAGGATTCCTCAGGCCCTGAAACCCTGAACCCAAAAGCAGAAAAATTCCAAACCTTGAGACGCAAGCCCCAGAACAAAAGGACCCAAGCGCTAAACTCTCAACCGCAAATTTCAATCCTTAAGCACTGAGCCCCAACCTCCCAACCCTAAGCCCTAGAGGCCAAAATAAGAGCCTGGGATCTGCTCCACTCCTGGCCACGCAGGGAGGCAGACTTTGCCCGGCTTCGCGCAGAAGCAGCGTGCCAGGAGTCCCTTAGTCGGGGTTTAAGGCTGTGGTTCACGTCTTGCGACTAAAGACTAGGCTTAAGATTTGGGATTACGGGCTTGGGACAGAGGATTTGGGAGTCGGGACTTCGGATTTAGAATTCAGGCTTCAGGCTGTAGGATTTAGCCCTTAGGATTTGTCGGGTTTGGGATGTCTCGCTTGAGGCTTAGGATTTATGCATTTCGGGATGCAGGTGTGTAGGATTCTGGATTTAGCTGTCCACGTTTGTGTGGTCCCATAAGGATTTACCGCGCTTTCAACAATCTGGGCTTACACAGGAATAGTTTGTGCAAATGCCCAGTCTGGACTAGGACCAGTGGAGCAGGGCTTATAGACAGGATAGAAGCCCTGAATATGTGTCTGAGGAAGGCAATCCCGCATCATCTGAAATCAAAACACGTCGATACACAGTGCTACATCATCTAATTTCCCAGGTTGAAGCATTCCGGGCTTAGAATGTATTCAGGTTTGGGTGCTTCTTGTCTGTGACGTTTACATCTTCATGAAGTTCCTATGCACATTGACAAAGAAACGCGAGATATGCACCATCAGTCTTGCAAACTATATACTGGCCCAAGCCAAAGTATAAACTCGCAATCTAGGCCCTGTGCGAAGGGGAAGACGAAGTCTGCCAAACCCTGGGCTCAGCAGTTGTTCCATTTCCGAGGCGCCACTCATCATCCCAGCCCCTGGGCTTTGTTAGGTCCCTCGGTTTTGGGCGGCCTCGACCATAAGCGTTAGGGTTTGTCGGGTTTGTCGTAGGCTTCAGGCTTCGGAATGCAAGGTTCAGGATTTGGGTTCTACTAAGACCGTTATGTGTAAGTCTTAGTGAAGGAGAGCCATCGCAATGCTCACCACCTACCTTGTGACTTTCCAGGATGACACTTGTGGTGGCGCCTTCCTTTGTGCCTCGAATTGCCATTCAGATGTAAAATTGGTTGAGGATCCATGGTCAGCAGTCATACGGTTGACGGACAAAATCCTTGCTGACTCTAATCAGTACAGCATACCACATTCTTTGCGAGGCTTATGGGGACAACACGCAGGATTTCATCCATGAACAGTTTGGAAATTTGTGAAGCCCCACACCTTGAAACCTGATAACTATATACTCTGCCCAGGTCCTCAGGACCAGACGCAACTCAGCGGGAGAAAAACATCTTGCAATGGAGGGCATCGGAGGGCACGCTCCGAACTCTGAAGCTCGACCCTACACCACACGCTTCATTGCAAGCTACAAC